GGTCTGCTCCGTTCTCCTTCCGGGGCCACCCCACTGCTTGCTGCCTCCCGAACACACCAGCTCTGAGTCTGGTTCCTCCTTGCAAATCACAGCCGTCAGATATTCATAGCCTTCTCCCCAGCCTCACGCCCCTGACTGCATTTTGCGTCACAGCTGATCTCTGCCCCCTGTTTCTCTGCCACTTTAGGAGGAAGTTAGAAATGCATTTGATATAAATTTGATAGTGAAATGCTGGCCTCTCTTGACAGCTTATAAATAGCTTCTGGAGTCCAATTTTGAGATTTGGTTATTTTTTTTTTCTTCTTAAAAAAGAAAGAAAGAAAAGAAATCATACAAGCCCCCAAACCTATCAGCCATCTATCTCCAACGCAATCAGAGGTGGCTCTTGCCTCTCCTTTTCCCACCTCCCTCCCCAATTCCATTATGTCCTGCAGCACGCTCACAGTTCCTTAATATCCCATGGGAAGAGAGTCCATTAAGACAAAGACTCATATCAATCTCTCCCTTCCAACTTAATTAAGTTTTTATAAACACTCAGCCCCATATGGGGAAGGGAAGAGCAGAACCTAGCTCCGAATTACCAAGGCAAATAGAATCCAAATGAAGTTATTTTCCCTGCCTTGTTTGAGTCCAGTTTTAATTAGGCAGCTGTTGGGACTTGGTGTTGCCTGCATGTAATTGTGTCATTGCCATTCATTAGAGGTTTGATTGGAGTTATTGTTTGCTTGTCTCCCAACGTTTTCATTTCTTCTGTTTTCCACCGGTGACCTGGCCAACTTTGCCTTTCAAGTAATTACTGCTTAGTGGCATACATTATTTGTCTATTAGGGCGGCGCTGCAGCTGCCTCTCTGTCCTGGCTCCCATAGCGAAATGTTGTTCGCCCACCCTTGTTCATGGTTTGGATCTGAAGGCTTGGAGAGACAGGACAAAATAATAGTCCTGCATGCCAAAAACCGGCATGCTAAGTGTAACAATTGGTTCCCAATGTGAGCGCCCATAGATTTGAACATACAACATTGTCCTCAGTGTAAATATTGATTTCATCTACTATCTGTGTAACACAGTTCTGATATTCATCCCAAGGCCAGAGGGGTGTTTAAAATGTTTGGATGATCGAAAGTTCAGAACCAATATAGAGTTATCTTCATGGCGTACAGGGGATCTGGATAATCAGACATTTTGAGGCTTGATGTCTGCACAATTTTCATGTTTTCCGCACTCCAAATTGGCCTCATTCTGCTTGTTCATTTGTTTGACTGGGCAGGGCTGTGTGAGCTCATTCAGCTTGTCAGTTCAATCAATTCAATCATTTTGAATTGATTTCTCCTAAAATCCAGCTAATCAAAATCTAATTTCAGCTTTGTTGTAAAGTAAGTGGATTACGTAGAGTTCAAAGCCTAGGCTGCAATCCAATGAGACATATGCACATTGTCCATGCACCCACCCAATATTTTCCCTTAGGGTTTGTCATTCAGAAGGTGCCTCCACCAATTTACACCCACCCACAGACACCACTCTCTAAAATCATTCTAAAAGCAATTTGGGGATTTGATACATACACACAAAAATCCCCCTTTAAAGGGAAAATACCATGAGTTGGTACTATATCATATCATCCAACATTTTCACAGATGAAGCTGGAAACACATTAACATTCTTACTCTCACAACTGGAGGACACAAACTTTTCTTCTCTTTCACAAACATCTTACCCTCCATCCTACACCCATCAGGTTCCCAAAGTGGCTTTACGCAGAAAATAATTACACCTTGACTCTGACTGTGTTACTCTGTGACAGTCTTTGCTTCGCTGATTTAAAAGCCAAGATGGCAATTTGTTCTTTGGTTTAAAGATATGCTCGGGGAAAATGTAGTTATCCTATAGTTTGCAATCAAAAGTTCCTAATGAACCTCTGCCGCTGTAAAGCAGGCACCCCCAAACTTGGCTCCTCCAGATGTTTTCAGACTACAATTCCCGTCATCCCTGACTTCCGGGGTGGCGCCATCAGCAATGGCGGACTCCCTCTGAACTGGAGGGACTAGCTCTGCGTGAAACGGGTCTTTTCTGCTACGGCGAAGCGGGGACCCTGCTAAAAATCACAGGCGGATGAAGCCTGTGACCATGGGACTCGGCGGGCACCCTTAGCGCCCCCCCAACCCGCAAAGGAACCCACTAACGGGCTCCGAAGTGAAGAGGGGGAAGCGGCGCGGTGCTGTGAGTCAACTGCTATTTCCGTGGAGCGAAGCCGCATAGCCGTTGCTGGAGAGCGCTGCCTTTTTCCTGGGACAATTTGGCTTCTAAAATAAGCACCCGTGAGTACTTAAACTTTGAACAATTGGACTTTAAATAAGGACTTGCGAGCAGAAAGGAATTGGACTTAAAAATTTACTTCAATTTGGTACTGAAACGGGAAGGTCTAAACAGGAAGTCAGCCTTCCGTTTCTTTGTAGACAGAATAAAGCAAAGACAACGTAAACTAGAGCTCAGAAAATCGCTCCTAAAGGATTGGCTTTCATCATTTAAAATTGTTGAACCCCCCCCTTCGGCAGCAGGAGAAGAAGGGGGATCTTTTTTTGGACTGTTTAAACCTGCAGAAGTGAGTTTAAAGTAAAGTAACTTTCCACCGTCCTGATCCTGGAGCGGGGTGTCAGGACTGACGTTTGAAGCTCATTGACCAGAGACAAATGTTTTTGGACAGATAGTTAAAGGAAGAGAAACATAGTGATTCCACTGTTTCCTTTCGCATTTTAAGGAACAAATATTGACAAAATATCTTTAAAAGGATACTTTGTTGCAAGAACAAATAGAAGTTCTCCCCCTAGAGGGAGACTGTGAAACTGTAACTAAGTCCAGGGAGCTTGCAGCTGTCACAGATTACAATCGTGGTAATGGACTTGTGACCTTGTAGGACAATGTATTCAGAGGCTCTGTTGTGTGCTCTCTGTAAAACAAGTGCCCTACTGGAACAGTTAAATGAGAAGATGGATTTGATGACTAATGCGGCCAGAAATTTTGAACAGGCAGTGGGAAACTATGTGGAGCCCACCCAGGAATTAGATCAGGAGTGTGTCCTGACAGAGCAGATGAGAGAAGAGGATGTTGCAGAATCTTGGGCGCCAGAGATGGAGGGAGCTGCGGCCTTGCAGGAACATGAGCTTTTGGATTTGACAAATGAACTTGGAAAAAGCCAGATTTGGAAAGATAAAGTTTGGATTGGTTTGGAAATGGGGGGTTGGATAGACCCCCCTATGCAGGGATGTTTGGACTTTCTGAGTCTGGCAATGGGCCGTGAGATGTTTGGAGCTGTGGGGGCTCTCAATTTTGGAGGGATTCTGAAACATGTTTTTAAATACCACATGGAGGTGAGTCTGGACTATGGAAAAGGGGCTGATTTGTTGAAAAGGGTCAAAAACATCACCAAGCTGGAGTTCCCACGAGTGAAAGGAGAACATGAAGAAGAGCTGCGGAAGGGACATGGAAGAGATTTAAGGGCCTCGGATATAAGGTTACCAGGTTAATGCGCTAGATCTATGGGATAAAAAGGACTGACAAAACCCGGGACCAGGAGGAAGGGACGCTGGATGAAGATTGGATTGTTTTTATTTCTTTTTTTTTATTACCAGGATTGCTTTATAAAATTGATGAATGTTAGAAAAATGTTGGAACGAAATTCCTTGGCTCTAGCAAAAATGTTTAAAGAATTAGGTAAGAATATTATGGTTGTGAGAAGTCGGTAAAAATAAGATTTAAGTTTTAAGTTTTTAAGGTTTTCTATAGTAAGATAAGATGAAAATAGATTAAGGTAATGTAATGACAGAATATTATGAAATATGGAAAGGATTTGCTGCGATAATTACGAACTAGGATACAAAAAAAGGGAGGAGGAGGAGGTCAAAGAAAGAAGGTAATGAGAGTTGAGGATTTGAGAATGATGGATTTATTTTTGTCTGTTTGCGGTGTATTTTTGTTTTTTGAATTTGTATTGTTTGATGTGGTTTGTTTTTTCTTTGTTTTTTCTTTTTTCTTTCTCTGCTTTGTTTTTTCTCTGTAATTCAAAATTTTTTTCAATAAATATCATTAAAAAAAAAATACAATTCCCGTCATCCCTGACCACTGGTCCTGATAGCTAGGGATGATGGGAGTTGTAGTCCCAAAACATCTGGAGGGCTGAGTTTGGGAATGCCTGCTGTAAATGATAAAATGATAGACTGCATACTACCTAGTGCTTCAGTATTTGTGCCCATGCATTTACAGGGAAACCAAAATGCTTGTTTACAAAGCTATTGTACTACCAAATTTACAGTATTCTTGTGAAACATGGGCCATTTGTAAATGTCAACTCCAGCTCCTTGAAATATTCTCCGAATGTCTCTTGAAATGTCTCCGAAAAATTTTACATATCACTTTGAAAGACAGGTGAACTAATGCCAGTGTACTGGAAGAAGCAAAGATCACCAGTGTCGAAGCAATGATTCTTCAACATCAACTTGTTGGACTGGTCATGTTGTTTGGATGCCTCATTACTGTCTTCCAAAGCAATTACTCTATTCCCAATTTAAGAATGGAAAGCGTAATGCTGGTGGACAACAAAAGTGGTTTAAAGACTCTCTCAAGGCAAATCTTTAAAAATGTAGTATAAACACTGACAACTGGGAAACACTGGCCTGCGAGCGCTCCAATTGAAGAACAGCCTCTACCAAAGGTATCATGGACTTTGAAGAATCCCGAACTCAGGTCCTAAGGGAGAAATGAGCTAAGAGGAAGGCACGCTTGGCAAACCCTCACCACGATCAACTCCCACCCAGAAACCTATGTCTCCTTTGTGGAAGGATGTGTGGATCCATCACTGACCTCCACAGTCACCTATGGACACACTGTTAAGACCATATTCATGGAAGACAATCTTACTCGGCTACAAGTGATCACCAAAGAAGAAGACAAGTAGGTGCACTAGGGATAAGATGCACCTATGCTCAGCAGCGGATGGCATGATGGGGTGGCAGCACTCACCTGCCCTCGGGTTGCTTGCATCACTGCTGCTTACCAGGGCAGGGGAAGTGGGAGGGGCAAGGTGGCAGCAAGGCTGATGTGGTGCAAACCCATCAGCAGGAGAACCACATGGCTGGACTGATGCATTTGCTCTGTACCAGCCTCACCACCACCCCACGCTTCTCCCTCTACCTGCTGGTAAGCAGCAACAATGCAGCCAACCAGAGGACAGGTGAGCCCAGATGCCCAACTCCATCACCCACTGCTGACTACACTGTCCACTCAGCCCCTGTATTAAAATATTTAACAATTAGAGGCTAGAGAGGGGACTAAAGTGTGGGGTGACAACTTTAGCAGCTCATATAAACACAATTTTTTTAAACCAAAGGCAAAAAAAAGGGAGGCTGAGCTATGGACCTTTCTCAAGTGTAACTATCCATTCTACCTCAGCAGGGAAACACACTAGATCCTGTAACGGTGATCTAAATATTATTGAGATGCGTATTAGAGGAGGTGATCCTTCAAACACCTTGGAACATTTGAAAGGTCAACGCCAGCCTTTGAATTGATTCTACTCTCAACTGAGTCCAGAAATGAATCAGGAAAAGCACTTCAGGAATACGTTTGAAGGGTTTCAGAAAGGCCCCTCACTGCTGTGTTTAGGGCAGATCTGGTCTTACCATGAGGCAGGGTAAGGCAGCTGCCTAATAATAATAATAATAATAATAATAATAATAATAATAATTTATTATTTATACCCCGCCCATCTGGCTGGGTTTCCCCAGCCACTCTGGGCGGCTTCCAACAGAATATTAAAATACAATAACCTATTAAACATTAAAAGCTTCCCTAAACAGGGCTGCCTTCAGATGTCTTCTGAAAGTCTGGTAGTTGTTTTTCTCTTTGACATCTGGTGGGAGGGCGTTCCACAGGGCGGGTGCCACTACCGAGAAGGCCCTCTGCCTGGTTCCCTGTAACTTGGCTTCTCGCAGTGAGGGAACCGCCAGAAGGCAATTGGCACTGGACCTCAGTATCCGGGCAGAGCGATGGAGTTGGAGACACTCCTTCAGGTATACTGGGCTGAGGCCGTTTAGGGCTTTAAAGGTCACCACCAACACTTTGAATTGTGCTCAGAAACGTACTGGTCCTTCATGTTCTCTCACTGACCTCCTCTCCAGTTTATCTTCATGCTGTGAAAAGCTTTCTCTTCTGTTTTCTGCAGGTCAGGATTCTGTTCAAGGCACAGAGCCAGGCCAGGCAATTTCTGCTCTTCCTCCTCCTTGACATTCGGCAACCCTGGCTGTGTGGTCTAAGGAAGTGCAGGTATGACGCAGATTGCAAGGATTCTTGGCAAGAATCTGGCTTCCTGAGAATCTCCACTTTCACGTTGAAGGGGGAGAGGGAACCAGAGCCTGGTCTTTATGGATGCAAAGATATTCTTAAAAGTGTGTGTGCCTGCTGATATATCTTAGGAGTCTGGAAGAAGTATCTGGATAAGAATTCCAGCAAGCAAGCTGGGGATTCGACTTCAGTGCCCTAGTTCCTTGACGAGGAGAACCAGAATGGAATATGTAAGATATTGAAAGCTGCAGATTGAATGTACAGTGGTACCTCAGGTTAAGAACTTAATTCGTTCTGGAGGTCCGTTCTTAACCTGAAACTGTTCTTAACCTGAAGAATCACTTTATCTAATGGGGCCTCCCGCTGCTTCCACACCGCCGCACGATTTCTGTTCTCATCCTGAAGCAAAGTTCTTAACATCTTTACTGGATGCAAGTCCACGTGAACTCAGAGGGACTGTGTTCAGCATTGCTCTATTCAGCAAAACAGTGGTACCTCGGGTTACAGACGTTTCAGGTTACAGACGCTTCAGGTTACAGACTCCGCTAACCCCGAAATATTACCTCGGGTTAAGAACTTTGCTTCAGAATGAGAACAGAAATCGCGCGGCAGCAGGGGGCCCCATTAGCTAAAGTGGTGCTTCAGGTTAAGAACAGTTTCAGGTTAAGAACAGACCTCCAGAACAAATGAAGTTCTTAACCCAAGGTACCGCTGTACAAGGAGGGCTGCGTGGGTGATACTCTGGGGCTGATTGCACTGCTGGCATCAGCGCCGGCCCTCTTTTATCCGTTGGGGTGGACCAGAGTGAAGACTGCTCACTCCCGGTCCACTCCCTTTTGTCTCGCCCCCCAGGCTGCCATGGATATGCCAGTTGAAACCGGTGACCATCAGGGTCAGGGCAGCAGCAGCCAGCTGGGCAGTGGGGGTGCCGGAGGCAGTGGGCGGTTATTGCAGTCAGAATTTACACAAATTTATTTTTTATTTATTTCATAAAATTTGCTTCATCCCAGTGCGTTATATAGTTCGTGGTTGTTTGGGCAGGGGTGTGTGTATGTGTGTGTGTGTGTGTGTGTGTGTGTGTGTGAGAGAGAGAGAGAGAGAGAGAGAGAGAGAGAGAGAGAGATGCAGATTACACACAGACCTGCTCATACCTTGCTTCCCAATTTAACAGACAATTAAAACGGAAGAACGGTAACAATTTGGAATATGTCTCAAGCTCTGACATTTTAAAAAAAAGAAGAATATCCAGATCCACCGCAGAAGGAACAAATTCAATGAAATACATTTCACATGGTGACGTGTGTAACACAAGAATCTGCAGCCACTTTGATTTGATGCAGTGGTGGCGATGCTAATGGAAGATGGGACTCCTTTCCACTGTTAGACTGAGCTAGAGCAAGTAAATTAAGCCAATGAAATATCACCTGCCATCTCAGCACCACCTCACCCCACCCAGTGCAGTCTGCCCACCCCACACCTTGACAAGCCTCTAATTAAAGTTGACTCTCACAAGGAAATGTATGAAATGTATCAGATCCTCCGTTAATTGTGAATTTTCGCACTGGCCAGAATACGGACAGCTTAGGAAAGCTTGATTCTCTTCACCACCTTAATATCATGATCAATCCCCACTACAAAAATAAAAAAAGGAGTGTGGTAGGGTTTTCTCTTTCCTGCTGGTGTGTAGAGCAGAGAAGAGATTGAAACAAAGAAATACTTTCTACTCTGATGCCCCCAATCCACACAGATGCAGGAATCATCATATTTTCTACACCGTTGCTCCCAGTGCAAGCACATTTGTGGATCATCAAAATACAGCGAAAGGAGGGGAAATAGTGCTTAGAGAGCTTTGCGAAGGAAGGAATGAAATAGCACTGGGCTGTGAAGCTGTGTGCCGGTCTAGCTGTAACTAGACCATAGTTAACGAAGGAGATTGGAAACAGTGGAGCTCCAGGCCAGTTAAAGAAATGGGCACTTGCTGTTTCTGAGGTTTTTGCTCGCTAATAAAGAGTCACAAGCTATATAAAACAGGGCCTTTCTATTAAACCAGGATTCCTTAGCCTCCTCTCACCCACCCTGTGTATCTCCTGCCTTCGACCTTTGTTGTTCTTCTGCTGAGTCGCCTCTGGACTGCTATTCCAGCCCCCTGATTTTCCAGAGTTTTTAAATACCCAGGGAGCCTGCGTAAGTAGACGAGGCTCCCTGCTACGGAGAGTTGCCCTCCAATTCATGGAGGGTGATGGAAAGAGAAAAGAGTGAGCACATTCGTTCCTGCTTTCTCCTTCACATTAATCATGTGGAGAAAGGAATGCCTAAAGAGGACGGAGGTTTCATTCCATCAGCCATTGGTGGGTTCTCCTGTGTTCTTTGGATGCTGCTCAACTAGATAATTAATGGTTTTAATTAATGTCATTTCTGAGCCTAAGGGAGCTTCCGCACAGGAGCATTCGCCACATCTGATTCTGTACTCCAGCCAAAAAGCAATGTTTTGAGACAAGGCATTCTTCAGAAGCCAGGGCACAGGACCACAGGGCCGTCTTCAGCATATGCACCACCAGGGTGCAAAGATCCACCCAGCACCCCCAGTTTTTGGGGTGGCAAGGTCAAAGTTGTTGAGCTTTTATTGGGGGGGGGGGAACAAGTGTGGCAATCACACAGGGTCCCCGGACTTTTCACGTCTATTGATCCCTGTGCAACCACTTTATTTCTCGCTGCCACCACCCAGGCCCTACCTGGTACAATACTGAATCCAGTCAGGGTTAAATTGGAACATAAACTTCTGTTTATTTATTGCAGTTTAACAAACGTGTGGTTTCATAAACAGTATCGGTCAATTACAATCCTGGGGTGCCTATCCAGACCTATAACTTCTGCTACCTGCTCTCACTGACTAAACCACCTCTCAGATATTTACTTGTCTTCCTAGCTCCTAACTGTTCCTGACTCAGCTTATTTCGCTACACTAACTCAACCTACCCACAGACTCTATCCCAATTCACTCCCACTCCAACGAACCACCCAACTCCCAATGAACTCCCCTCTTCGCCCTTCCCAGAGCTGGTTTTATAGTCCCTCTGACTCCACCCCCCTGGGTTCTGATTGGGTAACCTGTTTAACTATTTCACCTCCAGCACTCTCATATGTTAACTTCACAGCAAGTCTAAGTTGTTGAACTTTTAAGAAAACCGCTAACATGGGGGGGGGACGGCAGCGCTATCTCCATATTCCGTTTTTGCGATCATGCGGAAATGAAAGACAACACTAGGGATTCTGCAGCTCTTCCACCAAAGAGAACTGAAATAGCCCAGCAATTGACCACGATCTACAACAATCACCCAGCGATCGACCTATCGATCCTGGTCGACTGGTTGGACATCCCTGAAGTAGATAGTTAAGAGCTTAGGCGGCTTCAGCGACGGGTGCCTGGCACCTCCCAGAATTCGGCGCCCGGGTGCCCCGCACCCCCAGGTAAAGACGGCCCTGCAGAACCACATCATATGCCACCACCTAGGCCTCCTGTTGAAGACATTTCCTGTGCAAAGGGCCACATAGCAGTGTGGACCTAAGGGTGCATTCAGACATGGCGAACATTGCATTCATTCTTCTGCTTATCATGCTAGTGCTTCTGTCCCGTTTTCTAATGGAACTGTGGCTTTTTGTCCGATATACCTGTGCGTCATGCTCAGTTTCATTTATACACTGGGCATGGTATGACACAGCTGGACAAACTCTTTCTGCACATGAATGCTTCTGTTCACCCACAATTTCCCAATGAAAACAGCAGGAAATTTCATCATGTTACTCCCACGGTTTTCCAAGCTTAGGGGATTTTTTTTTCTGGAACCAAATAACATGGAAATGAGCATCCAACATGCACTATATTCCATTAGTTTTCCCAAAGTGGT